TAATAAAGGAAAGGTTTATTTAGATGACAGTTTGTGGAGGTTTCAGTCTATAATCAGCTGGCTCCAAGGCTGAGTGGCACATGGAGGAAGGCAACAGTTCGTGGTGGCAGAAAACAGCAAGAGCAAAAAACAGTGGCAGAGAGCAAACCTCTATCTCTCCCTTATACTACGTTCAGGCTATCTGACCTGGAGCAGGTGCAGCACTCACACCCATAATCCCAGCACTGGATCATGAACTAATCACAAACTCTAGAAGCCCATCCCATGACTACATGTGGCTTTGGGGGGACATCTAGACACAAACCACAACAGTAATGGAATGAATATTTTGATTCATACAAAACAAGAATACTTTGATTCATATAAAACAGGTACCCACAACTACCATCTCCATCATACATTAGTAAATGTTGCCAATTGAATATTTTTCTCATAAGGCAGTAGTACTAGAACATTCTATTACCCTTATTGCTCAATTTCTTCTTTCAGTTAAGAAGAAATCTTAACTAAAGATTTAAGAAATCTTAGCTCACCCATTGATTGGATCAGTCCAATGGGAGCTGGTATTTGCCCAGACACATTATATCAAGCCAATGGAGCATTAAGGATTAAATATATTTTGAATGCAAAGGGAGATTAAACATTTTCAATTGCTAAGTGGAAATGTATAGTTTAAATTTTACCTTAACTATAAAAGTGTTTGGTCTTAAAAACTAGTAGCTGCATATAAAAGCAAATTCCAATTGACCTGAGAGTTGCTGAGAGTTTGATAAGGGAGTCCTAGAGAATTTGATTTGTCTGTAACTCTTTTTGATTGCAAATGCCACTGCAGAGACTAGAGCCTAGGAGTTTGGGCTCTGGGTCTAATGCTCTTTGGACACCACCTAGTCTAGCATTGATGTTTGCAGAACCAGCATCAGTACCTCAGCTAACTAAATTAACTACAGTGTAGCTCCCATCTCAACCTCCTTGCCATTCAGAGACATAATGATAATATAGCTAATTTGAGGGTTCAAAACTATAATAAAAAGTATAATATTCTCTCTTTCATTGTCTCTTATCCTCAAAACATCCCTCCCAAATACAGTACTATTCTCATTTTTAAAATGGAGAAGCTGAGATTCAGACAGTAGTTTGTTCAAAGTTATCTATATCCTATAAGTGATTAAGCTAAGGCATAGGCCCCAGTACCTTATCTAAGTCACAGAAAAAGAAACAAGGAGGAAGTAAGGGGAAGAAGAAAGGGAATGAAAAGAAAAGGAGTAGGAAGAAGTAAAACAGGGAGAGAAGAAAACATGGAAGAGGAAAAATGAGGAAACAGAAGGAAAAGAAAAAAGAGGAAGAGAAGGAGGGAAATTGACTAGGAATATAACAAAGAGGATAGGAAAAGAAAATAAATACAAAGAGGGGGAGAGAAAGATGAGGATAGAAGGAAAGGAAAAAGACAGGAATTAACTCATCTACAAATTTTAAGAGTAGTGGAAAACGTTAGAGGACCAGCCATGAATCCAGAACTACTCTGCCAGTGATTGCCAAAGTGCTGGATCCACATGTGAGTACTATCACTTCAGATATTTGCCAAGACCTTTTTATTGAGTTTATGTTTATGATATGTATGTATACTATTTTCCCATTAAACTGGTGGTCATGATTGTTTAGAGAAAAATTAAGTTAAACTCATAAATTATCTTAAAGAAAAGTATTTCATGAGTAGTAGCTGGAAGGTGATTATAGATGGCCTGGTACACAAATGCCTGGTGTTTGGGAAATCCTTTGGGGCTGTACCATACCCACCCTGCTCAGCTAATAAACAGACATTGCTCAGCTGTGGTGCAGCCTGGGCCTGTGATAAAACTAGCCTCTGTCTTTCTCTGTGTCTGTTTCCACAGAAGGGCAAGACTGAGGAACTCTTGAGTGCCTTCGGATGCCAAGACTTCCCCCCAACTTCTGACTGTGAGGACTTGCTGGTGGAGTTCTTAGAAGTAGATGACTCTGAGGACCAGCAACTAATGCCAGATTTGCCAAAAAAATACCCAGGTCAAGGTGTAAAATCCCAAAATCCAGATCCCGATAATGACTCTGGCCATGGAAGTTGTGACAGCCCTTCCCTTTTGTCTGAAAAGTGTGAGACACCCTGGCTCAATCCTACCACTTTTCATAATTCTGAGGTCACTGGGAAGCTAGATTATGTGGAAGCAAATATTACTTGCACCTGGGACCCCCAGACCATAAGCACACAAGACAAAATCCTTCACTTCCATGCTAATGGATTAAGATCATCAACCGGGCCTTTGCCACAGCCTACCCAGGACAATCCCAGGTCTCCTTACCACAGCATTGCTGAAGTATGTAAGCTTGTCATGGGCCCCAATGCTGCACTGGCCACTGCGTTAGACAATCCAGGCAGAGATGCTTTGAAATTCTGTAAACCCAATGAAACTGAAGGGGAGGAAAAGGCAATTGGGCAGATGGAGGTGGAAAGTTTCCCTTCTACGACTGAGCAAGAGGCAGCATGGCTGCTGCCCCAGGAAAAGCCCTCTGTCATCCCTACTCAAGCCCTGGATTATGTGGAGATTCATAAGGTCAACAGAGATGGAGCACTGTCATTGACCCTGAAACAGAAAGAAAGCAGTGACCAGACAGAGAATCCATGGGCTCCCAAAATGAGTAAAGAATATGCTAAGGTGGCCAAAGTTACAGATAACAACACCCTAGTGTTAGTGCCTGATCCAAGAGCTCAGAACAAGGAGGTTCCACTACCACTTCAGCACAATCAAGCTGAAAAAGACATGGGCTGCTCCACTGCCACACCAAGCAACTGTAGACTCCAGGGCGGTTTGGAGTACCTGGATCCTACGAGATTCATGCGCTCCTATCATGGGCAGCTTGACTAACAAAATGATCGATGAAAATGTGATTTTTCTTCAGGTAACACTACAGAGTTATGAACAACAGTCTGCTAGCCAGTGTCCCAGAATGTGGGTAGAATAGCACAGCTCCACTCCTTTTCATGCTCCATGTCCAACCACTAGCCTCTTTCTTCGACAGCTGATTTCCAGAACAAATCACTTTGTGTCTATGATATGTAGATTTCCTTTTTTCTATTAGTTATAAAAATCATGTGTTCCATGAAATAAAAGCATGTTGCTTAGTATTCTTGAGGGACTCTCCCAATAATATATTTCCCAATATATCCTCTGGGAAAGGCTTTCATGGCTTGTTGTGTGTGTCAGAAGGAAATGAGGAGATCAAAATGGTTTTTGCACAGAAAGGTGACAGATGAACAGAAAACGAAAACCAGTTTTGAAAATCAGACCTAACTTTTACACTACTTTTACATTTTATTAGGATTGTCCAAATGAAACACACTTAATAAAAATGCATTCCAGAACAACTGACAATTTTGTTTACACCAATTCCTATACCTTACTAACACATTGCTGATATGCAAGTAAAATGACAACCCTAATTATTTCCTTAAAGTAGTTTGAAAGTGTCAAGCATGAGTTTTCCCCCTAAATTTTATTTCATTCCAAAGTCCCTAGAGAACATAGCTTTGGCAAGTAAGATTCTCTTACACCAGAGGAAAATGAAGTTCATATGGAGAATCCTTTTAGGATGTTTACCTGTTTCAGCGGGAGGTAGAGGTCAGTGGCATGAGTGTGTGCCTGGCAAGCGCAAGGTCGTGAGTTTAATCCCTGGGGAATAAAAGGGATGTTTACCTGTTGCATTTCAGAAGAACAGATAATTTATTATATACCCTAGTATTTTTGCTAACTGAAAAAAATTCTCAAAAGATGAACTTTAAAAGAATCACAGCAGGATGTCCATTGCCTTACTGTACATACAAATCCAACTTTAATATGAACCCATAAGCTTAGCAACCTATTTTTGAAGACTATTTTTCTATTTCTTAGGTAAAATAAAGGACTATTTTCTACTACCCAGTACTGCTCTTTATGTATTCAGTGGATACAGTACTTGCTGCTACAAGGTTACAGTGAGCATTTACAGTGCATATACAGTCCTTATTTGTGGAGTAAAATGCCATACAGAATAGATGATGAAATTCAGTTCCCAACACAATGGAATATATCCTTTGATTCTTTTGATGCCCAGGGTAATTTAAGCAGCAACCACTAACACAAACCTAGGATTTTAGGGCTTGCCACAGACCAGAAATGGGTTTTTTTGTGGCTGTAGGGCTATTCTAGGGCTTCAGCCCATCAGCAAGTGCATTTTCATAAAGCCTCCGTAGAAGAGGACAGTGCGATTTCTAACACCTGTTAGGTTCTGTTTCGTTTTTTCTGAGCAATCTTGGACAGCAGAAGAATTTTTAGAAAAATCAGAAGTCAGTATCTCTCTGAAATATATCTATTTGCAAAACGTTAGCAGAAGTAGATACAATACTCATATCAGAAACATGCAACTAAAAGGTCAAGGAAAGCAAACATCCATAGAACAACATTAACAACTCCAAAATGCAAGATATGGTGGTGGGACTCTGTACAACAGTCCAGGGATTGGCTCCTTGAGAGGGATCAAAGCTTGGCTCTCCATTTGAATGGGAGCCCCCATTACTTATCTACTGCTCAGACTGCCTCCTTATATTTTTCATTTCATTTCTTGACAAATCCATTCTCTTTTTATTCACTAACTAGGCATAGAGAACTTGAGCTCACTCTGCGAATTAAATATTCAGTTCCATATTGATAAGAAATGGATACAGATGTTTCCTGATGATTGCAAGTGAATACTTTGCCAGTGCTTTCTGAATAGTAAAGGATCTGAAACCATATTTTTTCAGTACAGTATATTACAACATATTGTATGTGAAGGAAGCACAAAGTTTTCCATGATCCGTCAATGCTCTATATCATCAATACTCAGTGTCTGAGAAGCAACTGTGTGGGTTTCACCTGCCACTGTTTGAAAAATTTGTTTGCCAGATCTCGTACTCCAGGCCAGATCTACAAACTCAGCATCTGTGCTTAAGATCTAGATGATCCCTGTGCACACGGAAGCCTAAGAAGCGCTGTCCTGGAGGAGCATGTCCACTAAAGGTCATCTTTGTGCATGCAAACAGTCCTCTACGGAAAGAACAGATCAAGTCTGTGTAACTTACAGTGAACAACCCTGTCTGTAAGAGGAAGGCCAGCAAAATCATCTGTGCTTTAAAACATACAAAATGGTATTTTGTTTATATCAATATGGTCAGAATTGTATGTCTGTACACATATATATTACATATATATGTCTTATAATTCTAAAACAAAAATAATCTGACTGACATATTTTACATATATGAAGATTATTTTGACTGCCTAAAGATTCTAACTAAATCTCAAAAATCACCAATTAATAGTCATTAAAGTAAAAATTGCAATCTCATCAATGTTATGATTAACTATCACTCTGTGAGGGGTTTTTTTGTGAGGGTTTTTTTATGACCTAAAATATTTTCTATTAAGGAGACAGTTGTTTGTATGGAAGAATGTATACTAGGGTTGAAAAGGCCTGGATTCTAGTCCTAAGTGTTTTACCCTGGAGAGACTAATTCCTTTCTCTTGCTCTGCTTCCTCTGAAGAAAACATTGGAAACAATAATCTCTAAGATCTTTTTAAACTCTGTCTTGCTTCTGTGACTCACTAAATATTTTCCTATAAAGATAATTCAAACCAATGCCTTTATCTTAATTAAGCTGTCAAATAATTGAAATAATTGCTCTTCACTGTGGAAATACAGAGTAATCATCAGTGATATGCCTGCCATATTTCTCTTTTTAAATCATCAGCTGTGGTTGGTCTTTCTATATTTCACACGCATTTTATAAGTCATGCAGGCACAGAGCCATAGTCTAAGATTTGTGCAAATGCACATGCAGAGATGAGAGGCTCAGGATAGAAAGGAGATGTACAAGAAGACACAACGACTTTGACTGGCCTTTAATGGAAGCAAGTCTTGTTTACTCCTTACTTAGTCAGCAGCCTCAAACCTTTTTTCTTATACCTGGACATTGACTATAATTCATAAATAACCATTTCCCAAGTGGCTTTGGAAGCCTTATGTTCCGAGTTATGGAAATTCATACTTTTATAGACAAATCATTAAATATTTAAGCCACAAAGCACATGGAACCTGGGTATAGTCAATGAAAGATTTCCAACAGTTTATGATTCGAATGGCAAAACATTCTCTGACAAAAGGCACCCTAACATGAGCACAAGTTACTACTAGCCCTATCACAAATTTTCATACATGTTCAATTTTCCTAAGTGCCTAAGACCAAATCCTGATGGCCACGTATGGGCTAAAGATTCAAACTGATTTGAAACAATAATCTCTAAGATCTGATTTGGTCTGAAGAGATAGATTTCTTACTGTCTATATAAGATCAAAGAAGTTCGACTCCCCGCCCTGTGATGGCCCAACTGAAATGGTGAATCCTGAGTTAATGAGCAACTGGAAGCACCTGAGTTCCAAGTCGAAGTTCATCTCTGGAGGAAATCTGGCTTTCTCTTTTCTGAGCTTCCCTCTGCTGCCCAGCATTTGCAGAAAGAACTGGCCCTGCCTTTAGTTACTTCCCTATTTCTCTAGAGTAGATAAGAAAGAAACAAATTTGTATGTTTTTTAAGAAGTGCCTTTACTTTTTAAAAAGTTTTCATTTAGCAAGAAAATTATATGGAGTGGAAAGTAATATATACCTAATATGAATTTCTTTTAAAGTGAATTGAGAAATGTAAAAAGAAAGGCCAAAAAGAGAATGCTAAAATGGTCTAAGGACTAACCAGCACAATGTCTACTGGTTTTGTATATTGATTAGTTGAATTACCATCCAGTTAATGTGAATAGTAGAACTTAATCTATCTGATAAGAAACTGAATTTCGCTATGATTTGAGAATAAATCTACCACTCTATTATTCTAGCTTCTCCATTTAAGAACATTGATGAACTTTTAAATGCTATTGAATTGTACATCAGTGCCTGAAAAAGACAATTGTACACTTTGAAACTTTGCACCCAGATGGAAAAATATTAATGACTGAACCACCATTCTAGCACTGCTAACATAGATTGGCCATTGATAACGCCTTTTGTGTACTTCAGTGAAATGGGCAAATCTCCATTTCTGCCCTTTAGACTCAAGCACAATATTGTTGTAAGATAGTGATTGAATACTCAACACTCAGCTCTGGATCACATCACTGTCCATAAGTAGGCTAGATGACCTTGCTTGAGTTCTTTAAATCATTTTTACAGCTTTCTCATTTGCTAAAGAATAGAATTGGCCAAAATGCTGCTACCATCTCCAGCTCTGTCTTTAATTCTCTTCATCCGGGTAATCCGTAACTTAAGTTGAAGGCCTAGATGCCATCTTTCGCTGTCACGTTCTTAACCTAGCCAGTGAAGTGCTGACTCAGTGTGTCTGCATAAAATGTATCAGGGAAAAACAGGTTCATTTCGTAAGGTCCAATAAATTTAACATCTTCATTTCCCCTTTTCTTTCTTAGTTTACATACATTGTATGTTGTCACTGCCTCTCTTCTCCTACAGGCAATCATCAAATCCACAACACACAAAATTATTTATTAACAATTATTGTGGCCCTGCAAAGAACTAGTCAAATGTTAAGTCAGGCATGCAGATATCCAAGCCCAAGCTGAGGTCACAAGTGCACCCCATTTAGAGATATGTATGAGTAAAGATTTGAGCCCGTGTTCATTATTTACTTAATTCAAGGGCCATCAATAAATCCAAGCTATCTTATTGACTAGACACTAGAAATCTTAAGAAGAAATAAAAGTTTGGAGTGATTGCTTTAGAGCTTATGGTCTGCCAGACAAACAGCTCAGCAGATTAAAGCACCTGCTTAGGCAGAGCGCAGCAGCCATGGTTCGATCCCTGGCATGCTGTGCCAGCCCTGACCCCCGGGTCCGCTGGGATGACGATTGAGACTAGGCATGGTGGTGCACACCTGCAATCCCAGTACTTGGGAGGCTGAATATAGGTGGATCACTATAAGTCCGATCTACGTAGTGAGACCCTGTACTACAATACAAAAAAAATAAAGCTTATGATCTAACCAGAAACTATATTTATAATTGCAACCTAGATTTATTTTATGGTTAGAAAATATAACTCTAAAATCATCTAGAAGTCAAACAGCAGTTCTCTCCAAACTTTTGTTTTTCAGGAAAATGATTTTTGTTATGGAAACACTCTGGTATCTATTTCAGTTTGAGTGAAAAAAAAAAAAAACAGAAGAAAATAAAATCTTTCCAAAATTCTGGGCATCTCAGAGTGCTAACAAATGCCAAGATTACCTATTAAACCACATGTTAGTGAAAATGACAACTCTATTAATTTCCTGAGTTTATGACTATAAAACCTAGAAATGTATTTAACTTACACCAAAGGCTAGCAGCTATTCTCTCTATATCATTTCTTTGACTTATGCCATAAATCCAATTTAAGCACTGAGACATGTACAGTAAAAATATAACCTGTTTATACAGTTTGATCAATGACCAGAGGGATTCTAAGATAATCTCAGTGTATTAATCAATTAACTTTTTATCTTCTGTTATTTTAAAAACAAAAATAACTTTCCTCGTGAACTACAGCAGTAATATTAAAAATAACCCTTAACAGTTATGGTGAAACCATGTTTCACATGGATAAACTTCAAAATTCTGAGTTTTCTATACATATTTTGCAAATCTTAAAGTGGGAACTTTAGGTCATGTTATCTAAAATTGAAAAACTATCTAGCAAACTTACCTCTGAAAAAGTATTTGCTTTATAAAAGTCCTGAAAAAAAATGACATTGAAATGACAAGCTCCCCACTTGTGTTCTAATAACATTCATTCAGGTCAGCTTGTAAAAGGAGATTACATCCCATGCTTTCACTCTTTTTCAGTGTCATATATAGTTAATATATGACATTACTGACTTTAACCAATATTTTATACCATATTATTTTATATGTTCAAAATACTGTATGTCACATTAAAATATACGCTCCTCATGAAACTCATCATGTATTACAAATGAAAATCAGTATGTGATGATGTAATTTATCCATACATAATTTCAATGTGATCCTGTCTGTCTATAAAGCAAAGCTAAAACTATGTAATAACATATGTATTGAAACTGTGAATGTATTAGTTTTTCTGTAATCTGCCTAGAAGTAGTATAAGGAGTTGTACAGCTTATCTGAGCTCTACAGTCTGGCAACTGCTTAACCGTCAACTCCTCCACGTTGCTCCATGTGACTACTGGGTCTTCGGGTGTGTTATTCACATTATGAGGCTGGCTTTTGCTTTTCATAATTCACTGAAACAATTCAAGACTCTCATGTGGAAACCAAAGCAATCCAGACTCCACCCATCGAGTGATTTTGTTTCTTGCAAAGCCATACTGAAGCGAAGTCTCTGCCATTGTGCAAGATTCCCTATTTTCAAAGCTACTACTACCTCTGCTTTTCCTTTTCCCCTAGAAAATGCTTAGCAGAATTCTCCAACATCAAGTGGAAAATCAGAAGCGACTTTTACAATATCTTGCTGGATATATTTTTGTAGAACTCACCACTTTGCAGGTTTTTGTTGTTTTCTGAGTAACTACTTTTTACGTTGTCATATTTTATTTAAAAAAAAAAACTGGCTGATGAGTGAAGTTTGGAATGAATAGTCATCAAATTGAAAAAATCACGCACTACGTTTATGTCTTGTAAGTCTCTTCATAGCATTTGCCCAAAGCCAGGATAATATATGTGATTATTGAAAATACTCAGCTCAGTGCCTCGCTCAGTTCATGTTTACTTCCCTTGCTTAGCTTTCCTCTATTTTTTCTTACTTGAAATGCAGAAAGGCAAATTTATATGTACTTTGCTGAAACAATTGTCATGAAGAATACTTGCCGCTAACAGATCTATAATCAGGAATTCAATTTAATTTCTCTACAAACCTTAAAAATAAATCTTTTCCTTATTTGATTGACATCAAATGCATGATGGTATGGGGAATGTCAGCCATTTATCAGAAGTAACCTCAATTTAATTTTTAAAACTCATTTCTGTGTCATTGTTATAATGTCATATTTTTTCCTTTTTAGCCTTAAACAGTTATCGACTACTGTCATCTGATTTGTTATCCTGCATTTCTTATTCTGTAAATCTTGGATTATTGCACATTGTACTTCCTGTTTTCCAAAGACTTATTCACTTATGTCCTTCTGTTTGATAGGGACTAGCATGGACAGTTAAATCTCTGCCAGTAGAATGGGAGATTATGCCAACTGCTATTCTCACTACATTTTTACTGCATGCCAAAAACAATGCTTGCCAAACAAAAACTTGGACATTCCAGTATAATATGATTACTGTATTTCTATTTATGTCATTATTCAAGATACCCAGCTCAGTGTTTGACTCAATAAATGTTTATTTCTCTTGCCTATCTTTTGTCTTTTTTTAAATTTGAAATGAGGACAAGTAGAATGATGGGTGGTTGATGCAATTTAGGTTTTTGCTGATAAAAGATCTATCATTGGGGAATTGTTCTTGTAAATGTAACCAAATTTTTGTTTCTTTTTTATTCCTTCCATGTACTTACAAGGCAAAAATGCCTTCCTTCACCTTATTCTGGTCATATAAAAGGCTGATTAAAAATAAAGTGAGATGGCATTATGTATATGGAGATCAAATAAGAGAAGCTTCTTTATTATAAAATAAACACCAACCCATCAAAAAAGTTGCAGAATCCCTTTGAACACTCATCCTTATCATTAACATCTTGTCTGACAAAGACCATCAAATGAAGTGTAAGTAGATAACTTATAACAAATCTAGACCCAAGCATCATCTGCAATTCTTGCTAGCATCACAGGACTGTGACACTGAGTGCTTAAGCAGAGCTTTGCAAACTATTCCCCGCCACTTCCTAGTTATCTAATGCCATATCTTACTGAAAAAGAAGGAATTTATTTCTGATGTGAGTGTCAGACTTTCAAATTTGGCTTCAAACAAAGAAACATCCTCCTGTGCTTCTACCGAAACCTTTCATTTTGGAGTCAATTTATATTTTCAAGCTGCACAATTTGGAGTGGCAGTCTCCAGTCACGGGATATGTACAACTAGTGGCAGGCTGTGTAAATAACATATGGTCTTCAAAATGGATTGTGCACTCTCTCCTGAAAGAAAGCAGAAGTTCTATGTCACTACACTTTACCAGAATCCCTTCTGAAATCTTAGCCCAGTCAGGACTGCTACCTGCATCTTATGTGCTAAGCATTCTGACTTTATTTTTTTATTATGAAGTGTGTTTTTTTCATAATTTTATTGATAAACAAATAACAATGAGATAGTTTCAAATCAAATTGGTAGGATGGTTTCAATAATTCACACATTGCATACATTACTCACAGTGGTTAATTGCTGTACAAGATGCGGACATGATATCCTATC